GACATTTCAGGGGGCATGGGTAACTGCACTGCACTTTTAGGTGGGAAACTATATCTTTATTTGTAACAAGTGCTGATATTTGTCACTTTATAATTTACTCTGTTTTGTAGTGAATTGCTATTTCCTTGTTCACTTGTGTTTTTCTCTTGGTCATTGGGTCTATGACGTTGTGGTATAGATATGCTATTATTGAGACAGCTCAGTTATATATATGGTTTATATTTTTGTGATATGTGATTTTTATGCACTACTACTTAACTACTACAATCCAATAAAAATATGGCCAATTAATTTTCTTTCTTGAAGCTCTGTACATTAAAATATGTCTGCCCTTTTACATTTTGATTAGTCACTGAAATAGCCCCTGAAAAAGACCTTTTCTTCTTATATCATTTCTTTTGAAGGACTGAATTTTAATACCCTATCAATACTTGCTTTTTTTGCTTCGATCTGTGAAAACGCATTTAATTTCAGCAGTAAAATTGACAGCATCCATTTTTATCTTTAATTAACTTTTCGGTTTGGCTTTCATCTTAAAGGCTCACAGCAGAATTTATCACCAAACTACAATGGAAATGCTGAATGGGAGATTCGAGAATCTGCCTGGCTCTGCATTTAGCCCAGTTGACCCCATTATAAGAAAGGAAGTGAACAAGGTCGGTATGCAAGACCACGCATTCGAGACCACGTGTTCCGTCACTCCACTCCCAGACGACCGTGGTTATTTGACTCCTGACACCCCCCTCCCCCGCTGTGCTCGCTTTTCGCTGCAAAGCACCAGCTGCCCTTTGCTTAAGGGTTCTGTAAGTGAGCACGTCAGAGAGTAACTGCCCCATCCAGGAAGATGCCTGCCACCGCCCGATGTGACGGGCCCGTGGCGGAGCCTCTACGGGCTTCCTCTTCTGCCTCCAGGTTTTAAGGCACCACTTAAAAAGTAAAATAGGGGCGCCTGGGTGGCTCAGTTGGTTAAGCGACTGCCTTCGGCTCAGGTCATGATCCTGGAGTCCCAGGATCGAGTCCCGCGTTGGGCTCCCTGCTCAGCAGGGAGTCTCCTTCTCCCTCTGCCCCTCCCCCCTCTCATGTGCTCTCTCTCTCTCATTCTCTCTCTCAAATAAATAAAATCTTTAAAAAAAAAAAGTAAAATAGGATGAAATCGGAGAGGGAGACAAACCACAAGAGAGGGTTGCTGTGGGGGAAGGGGGGTGGGGGGATGGGGAACGGGGGATGGGCCTGAAGGAGGGCACGTGATGTGATGAGCACTGGGTGTTATATGCAACTGATGAGTCACTGACCTCTACCTCTGAAACCAATAATACACTGTACGTTAATTAATTGAATTTAAATAAAAAAAAAAGATTAAGGGTGGGGCCCAAAGAGAGCTTTTGCTCAGAATGGTTGTCTCTGAAGCCAGGACGCCTGGCTTTGAGTCCCTGCTCACCATTTTCAGCTCACTAGCTCTGAGACCTGGGGCAAACTACCCAACATTCATTTATTCATGCAGTTAACATTCTGAGCATCGACTGGTGCTCCATACGCTGGGCGCACCCCCGTGAATAACGCAGACACAGCTTCTGCCCTTCGGGAGTGAGTGTTCTATGGGAGGAATGGCGTACGGAAGGGTGTGTAATGACAAACCGCGACATGTGCTAAGAGGAGGGGACAGTGCAGAGTCACGGGCAGAGGGAGAGGAGGGCCCAACATATATGGCTGCTTTATGCCCGAGGAGGTGACAGGAATCAGGCAGAGCAGGGGAGGTGGGGTAGGGAGAGAAAGGGCAGCCGGGGGGAGCGGTTTTGGGGAGGCCCGTGGACAGGACTGCCGCTGGGACAGCCGGAAGGCAGGTCACAGGGGGAGGGGTGGCGTGGTGCCCGGGAGGGCAACAGGGCTACTCTGAGGACCCTGGCACGGATTTGGGCTTCAGCTCCTGTGTTCGCACAATCACTCAGGCTGCCTTCTGCAGAATGTGCTGGGGCGTGCAGGGCAGCAGCCTACGTTGGAGATGAGCATGGCCGTGCCTACAGCAGCAGGAGGGAGGGGTAGGTACAGGTTCAAGGTGTTGTCAAGTGACTACCCCGGAAGGGGCGTTGGATGTGTCGAGCGAGGCAGGGCGGGGAACCCGGCATGTGGTGTTTAGCTTGAGGAGTTGGATGGTGGTGCCACTGACTGAGACAGGAAGAGCAGAGGACACGATGGTTTGGGACTTACTAAGTGCCAGGTCCAAGTGACGATGTCATCACTTATACAGGGGACACACTGGGGCCCCGAGGTGAGATCAGCAACTGCGTGTGCATCTGCTCATTGCCAGTATGTGGGAGACACCTCACTGCATGCAATCACAGGGTGTGGAGTCTGAGCAGGTGGGATTCCCAGGTTGCAGTCTGGGCAGAAAAGCAGGGACCTGCTAAGAGTGGAGGACAGGGCAGCTCAAGGGGAACACAAACCCTGTCCCTGTTGAGATCAAATGGGCTTGAGATCCAATGGGCTCCTGTATTTAAAGAGCGCATAGATCATGACAGCCCCCCACTCCTCAGCAAGGTTCATATGGCAATTATTAAATGCCACTTTCCACGGCAAGGCACTGACTGGCTGGTGGGTATTGTAAAGATGAATCGACCTAGATTCTAGGCCTAGGAGCTCATTATCTAGTAGGGGACATAAGATTTAGAGAGAAAAAGTTGGAAAGTAGGAAGTGCAAGAGACAAGTGTTCTGGGTCTTGAGAGAAGGGAGGTGGCTAAGGCTGGGGGGGGACCAGGCTGCACTTTGTGGTGCGAGCAGCATTTGAAGGGGGGGTCTTCAAGAAAGGGTGGTTGTGGATATTCACAGAAGGGGAGGAGGAGGGTGACCAAAGGCAGGGACATGGGATGAGAGCCCCACACAGGTCAGAGGGCAATGTGTCTGGGATGCAGGTGCATGATGCAGCCTGTAGGGCAGCCCCTTGGGTCAAAGCTCAGAACGTTGGAAGTCTGAAGCTGCGTTAGGGGACTTGGTCGGTGAGGGTGCCGTATTCATGCCCTGTGTCAGCCGTGTCTCCTAGCACTGTGACAATGCCTATTATTAGAGTCAGGTGCAGCTATTGCATCGGGCAACGGAGGGTAACAGGCGTATCCTTCCAGAAAAAGCCATCTAAGATGCACACTTTATGTTCCATAATGATTTGCTTGGATTTTAATGTGCCCAACAAATTTCTCACTTCACCTTTCACTTACAAACAGTCACAGCAATGAGTCGCCTTTTCCGCAAACTATGTAAATCACCATTGTTCTTGTGGTTATTGACAGGACACCCTGGGGAGGTCCAAGAGTTGCAATTATGCTTGCTGCAGGCAGAGCTAACAACCGATGAATTCTGGTTTTCCCACCCAAGGTCCTGTGCCCTCCAGCTGTTATTTAGCCGCTATTTCAAGTCCCCTAGCTGTAAAAGTGGAATAGCGCTTGACTTTCTCAGATATTGTGCGGGTGAGTTGCATTGTCTATATGCCCCATATACCGTGCAGAGCAAACCGAAGTCTGCAGCGAAGGGCCCACAAGCACTTTCCGGCCAGTGCAGAGGGGTAGTTGATGACTCACCTGACCCGTTCTGTGGCCCCTCTAAGTTAGGCTCAAGCAGAGCAGCGTCATTGGATTTTATCTCCATGTTCCCCGTTGTAGTCTTACCCAAATTTTACCATTTACATTCTTTACAACCAGGTTTCTTAACAGACTCACTGAGTCTGGAGCTTGGTGTGAAATTCCTGCTCACAAGGAGCCTTAGAGGTGTCAACTCCATCAGGCTTTCTGTGAAGAATCAGTGAAACGCTCTGCCACTTAAGTTTAAAGTTAATTCGCCTGAATCTCTTCAGCCAAATGAAGCTTTCTAATCAATTATGAACAGAGAGGATGAACCGTAGGGTCCGGAGGGATTGGAGATGGCACCCCAGCAGTCTGCTCCCAAAACCAGAGGACGGGGGGAGTGGCTGTGTTTCTGTGTTTCTCACGGATGCTCACGGCTGGGCACACGGCGGCGGGGGGGGGTATGGAGGGCACTGCTTACAGTCTCTCAAGGATGGACAAAAGGGGGGGGGACCATTGCTTACAGATGCTTACTACTGACAGCCCGGGGGCGGGCACTGCTTATGGACACTCACTGCTGGACACAAGCGGGGGGGGGGGGCATTGGTTACAGATGCTCACAGCTGGGCACACGGGGGGGTATGGAGGCACTGCTTACAGTTGTTCAAGGATGGACACACGGAGGGGGGAGCACTGCTTACAGATGCTTACTGCTGGACAGCCGGGGGGGGCACACGGGAAGGGGGGTGCACGGCCTGTGCTGAGACAGCTGCGCGTCATTTCCACGGGCGCCTGAAGGAGGGTCCGGACTGGGCCCCCGGGGCCCCCCCCCCCGCCTGTTTCAGCGACTAGGGCGCTTCAGCCCGGCGCCCTAGTTCCGCGGGCAGTTCTGGTGAGGACGCGGAATAACTTCCTCCTGTCCGCTGGGCGCAGTCTGTCCGTCTGCTTCCCCCAGTGCCGCGCACAGTGCAGACGTTAATTAGCAATGGTGATCACAGGTAGTTGGGGGCCTGCGCAGGCCGGCGGAGGCCAGAGGGACTGGCCAGGGGCGTCAGCCCGGGCCTTCAGCTTCCCGGGATTGGGCGCCCGACTGCAGCCGCGGGCGTTGGGGCCCCGGGCCCGGCCAGTTCGGGGGCGGAGCCATCCGGGGGCGGGGCCATCCGGGGGCGGGGCCATGCGCGGAAAAGGCGGAGCTTTGGCTCTAAGCTAGCTTCTAAGCAGAGAGGAGGGGCAAAGGCGGGGCCAAAGGCGGGCCGGGGAAAATGGAGGCGGGGCTACGGGCAGGCGGGCGGGACCAAGGGGCAGGGGCGGGGCAGGGGCGGGGCCAGGCGCGCGAGCCTCCTCAGACGCCGCGAGCCCGCGGGAATCCTGCGGGCTGAGGTGGCCGCGCCGGCCCGGGACTGAGGAGCACGAGCTGAGCAGCCACTCCGCAGCAGCGCCGTTCCCCCTTGGCTCCGACCCACCTCCCGGTTTCATCCCTCTGGAGCCCGAGTTCCCTTCCCGCGCGGCCGTCGTGAGGCGGCCGCCTGCGTTCCCGCGCGGGGCCGGGCGATGTCTGCGTGGGGGTCCCGGCCCGTGGTCCTCGGCCTCGGGTCCCGCCCGCTCCGCCTCCTCCTCCTCTTTCAGCTGGTCGCGGGGCGCTGGGGCCCGGCCGGCGCGGGGGGCGGAGCGCCTGGAGGTGAGGCTGGGCGGCCGGAGGGCAGCCCCTGCGTTCGCCCTCAGAGCACCGGGCAGGGGTCGCGGGGCGGTCTGAGCCCGGGAGGCGCAGGACACGGGGCGGGGGTCGCGGGGCGGCCGAGGGGCACGGGGCGGCGGGGGTCCGGGGGTCCGGGGATTACGGGGGGACCGGGGGGCGCAGAAGGGTCAGAGGGCGCGGGGCGGGGATCGCGGGGCGGCCGGGGGGTGCGCAGACCGGTCAGGGGACACGGGGAGGCATGGGTCCGGGGGGCGCAGGGAGGCCGGGAGGTGGGGCGCAGACCGGTGAGGGGGCGCAGGGCGCGGGGTGGGGATCGCCGGGCGGCCGAGGGGCACGGGGCGGCGGGGGTCCGGGGATTACGGGGGGACCGGGGGGCGCAGAAGGGTCAGGGGGCGCGGGGCGCAGGACAGGAGGGATCGCGGGAAGGCAAGGGGCACGGGGCGATCGGGGGGCGGGGCTCACGGCGCGGGACGGGGATTGCGGGGCGGCAGGGGTCCGGGGTCCTGGAGGCACCGGGCAGCCGGGGTCGCCGGGCAGCTTCGCGCCGGTGCCCCAACTACGGCTTGAGCGGAAAACCTTGGTGCAGAGGTTAGTTATTACTTATTTTGTCTCCTGGGGGCTTGAGCGAGGGTTCAGTTTGAATGCCCAGATGTGTTCATTCAAATTCCGAGAGGCCACCTGGGGCTTGTCCCATGACCTGCATCCCTGCTGGGTGACACAGCGTACTCGCCAATACAACTTTCTCAGTAACAGAGGCCGTTGTTACCGAGCAGGGCTCACCTTTCGTGCCTTCGGCTGGGCTTCCCACGTTGTTCCTTTATTCACAGGCAAGCGTGGAGCTTCTTTAGGGTTAATACTAGGGATCAAGACATGACCTTCCGCCCCTGGCCCCTGTCTTCCTCCGCCCCCCCCCCGCAACCCCGTCCTGGCAGCGTTTGAAAATCTGCGCCGGCAGGTGTTTGTAGATTGTCAGGCAGCTGACATCCCTGGCTGCTGGGAGACTCGTTTGCATCCTCAGTGCTGCCTTGGCTCCTGAGAGCGGGGCTTTTTTCAGCCTTCGGGATGATAAGATGTTCTGGACAGGAATAGAAACAAAGAAATGTACTTCTTCAAATTCCAAGTGTTTAGAAGATTTCAAAGTTCGTCCTCTCGATATCTTGAAGAGCACCTATGATGTGATCTAAGCATAGAAAAGGGAAAAGATGAAAGCCGAAATTCACATCAGTATTTCAGTTTTTATGAGTAAGTTTCTTAAAGAGAGGAGGACATGTTATTCAGGTATGGGAAGAATCTTTTGTCTTTCCTTCAGCTTTTTAAACAATGATTTCTGATTCTAGGAATTAATAATCTTGAAGACTAGAATTATTTATTGCAGGATGTATTGCTTATAGAGACTGAAGGGAATGTGGAGGTGATTTAAACACTTAAAGAAAATCCTGTGCTGAGAGTGTAATAACAGAAAGAAAGGGATGTGATGTTTGGATCCAGAAAAGCCTGGGTTCACATTATGACTCTGGTGTATCACATTCACGTGAACAAGTTCGTTTTGGTTAGCTTCCTTTGAAATAATGGGGATAATATCGCTTACCTCTGAGTCATCTTCAGAATTAAGTAATATGCGTGAAACGCCAGGTGCTGTGCCTGACAGTCTAGAAAGCGATAGTTTCCTGCACCTTTTGGTGAAAGTGGAACTTTTTTCATCTGTTTTACTATAAAACATTATCGTCAAGCATTAAATGGTGTCAGTAGCTTTGTGCTCCTGCTTGGTGTCCAGTGTCATATTCAAACAATCAGGGCTGATTCATTCCTCCTTTCTGGCCCAGTCTACTAGCCAAGCCCTCCCTTAAAATAACACCATGTTCTATTACAGTTATGCTTTCTCTTTGTCCCATGTGAGCTCCTTAACTGGAATTTTTTTTTCAATTTTAATTTCAGTATAGTTCACATATTCTCTTAGTTTCAGGTGTACAATATTGTGACTTAGGAATTCTGTACATGACTCTGTGCTCACCACGATAAGTGTGCTCTTCATCCCCATCCTCTGTTCCCCCCATCGCCACCTCCACCTACTCTCTGGTGACCGTCAGTGTGTTCTCTGTAGTGAAGAGTAAGAACTGGGGTCTTATCCTGTGTATCTTTGCATCTCTAAGACCTGGCTTATTGTAGGGGTCCAGTAATTGTAGAGGAATGAACGGAGTGATAATGTCTCTCTGGACATTAGTTTACTCATCTGGAAAGTGAGGAGTCATTAATGGCTCCCCCCTCCAGCTCTGAAATTCCCAAGATTCTGTGTGCTCTTAGTAAGTGATCATTTGAAGAACAAAGTGATATTAAATGGATGATGGAATTGCACACTTGCTCCTAAATGTTGATGGCATTTGTGTATAACTGCCTTTGAGTGTAGGGTGGCTTACAGTACTATTTGGAGACCTGCCCCTAACTTGCCGTTTCCCTGGGCATGTAGCTTGACCTTGTTTTATTTCTCCTTCTTTAGAATGAGAGGGTGGTAGTAGATGTTTAGGTCCCTTCAGCCATGATTGCTTTTATATTTACATTTTGTTGGTTTTGTGTTTATCTTAGAATTTTACTTTTTTAAAAAAGATCTTATTAATTATTGGAGAGAGAGAGCCCGAGCAGGAGGAGGGGCAGAGGGAGAGAGAGAAGCAGACCCCCTGCTGAGCAGGGAGCCTGATTTGGGACCTGATCCCAGGACTCTGCTTCACTGATTGAGCCACCCAGTCGCCCCAATATTTATCTTAGAATTTTAATAATCACTATTTCTTATGGTTTTCTGTGAGCCAATCCTCAGGGGAAGAAAAGTCTAGTCTGCCAGCAACCATACTTACATGGGTGATGGAAAATTGCAGAATTTGAAAAGTGGTTCAAGAGGCAATTTTGTCTGTATTAAAGAATAGTGGGGCACCTGGCTGGCTCAGCCGGAAGAGTGTGTGATTCTTGACCTCGGGGTCATGAGTTCGACCCCACAGTTGGAGTGTAGAGGTTACGAAAAATAAATTAAGAACTTAAAAAAGAGAATAATTAGTACATTAAGATAATACCAGCCTTTTTAACTGACCTGACCATGATTGGGGCAGTGATTAGTCAGTTATATTTCTTTGCTGTGTGACATTTTAAGTGGTTGAAACTTTATTTTTAGTATATATGGTAATAAGTTCTGTCATTAAAAGGGAACTACAATAATTATTTCATGGAAAATGAGAGCTATGAAAGATTTTTTTTTCTTGTCACCTTTAGTTATTTTCAGAAGCTAACAGGAATACACACATAGTGGCTGTCATCTCTCCTTTTGTGATGGCATCCAAAAGAGTCTCTAGGTGCTTCAGGTCCTCAGGCAAACCTTTCACATTATTTGAAATTAAACACTAAACACGCTCTATGAGCTAGATTGTGAGCACCTGGCAGGTAGGGTTCTGTCTGTATATTTCTTGATGCACCTGACTTACTAACGTAGCCTAGCAATGGAACTTTGAAAGGTTTTCAGTCATTTGTCAGAATAGGGTTTTTTTTTTCAACCTATAATCTACAAATTAGATCTAGCAAGTAATTTCTTATAATTAGGATATGAGTTTTTAGCACAGTAATTTCAGTACAGAACATCTTTCTTTTAATAGTATTATTCTTCTCCCTTAAGAATTGGAATTATTTTTTTTTCAGATGTAATTTTAAGTTAATATTAAATAAGTATGTCTTGACAATGTGAGTTGGCAAATATTGGAATAGTTGTTGAAAAAAAGTTTATAACTTGTTTGTTTAGAAGTCTGCTCTCCAGAAGAGCACAGGTATAGTTTTAAAATGACAGTAGAAGAGATTATTTTAATGATCCTTTTCTGCTCTTTAACTAAAATTTTAATTTAAATGGTCTGTTTCCATTTTGAGGAAGCATGATATTGTTTCTCCTAACTGTATTTAATTCAGAAAACTTAAGCTTTTTCTTAAGTGGAATTATAAAATAAAGCCTTTAACCAGTAAAAAGAGCAATTAAATATGAATATTTGAATTCTGACAAAAAGAATAGCATGAACTTTTCTTTTTGAAGCATGTATCGCTTCTCCGCCTTTTGGCTAAGATCAAGTGTATTTTTGAAGCACGTAATCTAATGTTTTGACCGTCACACAAACAAATATTTGCACCAAAGTGTGTTAGGGGCTTTAATAGAAACATGCCAAGAATAACAGACTCACTGAGGAAAGTGTGGTCAATTCTCTACAAAACATTCCCTCCACCTCTGGGCCTTAGAGGCCTGGTTCTCGCTCAAGGAAACGGGCTCCTCTGTTGTCCTGTCCAGTGCTGCTTACTTGTCCATTGGCAGAGCCTGGAATATGGCCACGCTAGCTCTCCATTGCCACGTCCACACCATTACATTTTTTTCTTCCCCTTTGAAAAGAACATTTTTTTTTTTCCCCTAGCAGGAGTTTACAGGTTTAATGCAAAAAAAAAAAAAAAAAAAAAAAAAAAAAAAAAATTGGGAAGTACACACTCATACACCATTATCTG